GAGAGAGAGAGAGATCTAGCTACCCCACAAGAGACGTGTACTTGTAAAATAACAAAACAAGACGCTATTTTTTTTAAAGCACCCAAGCATGGATATTCCAGCTCTTCCAGATAGTATGAAATCTAAATATAGCCCGGATCTGTGTAACCTTTATCGCGCGTTTTACGTTTGATAATTATTCATCGAAACAGCTACGTGTCCTTCTATCACTGGTTATTTATTTTCTATATTAGGAAACTCGTCATTGTTTGGACATCGGAGAAAATGATGAAATGGACCTGTTACCCCCCGCCTCAGTCAATGGTGTGGTCGACGCCAGAGACGTATTATTGGTCAAAGCCACAGAGATGGGTGAATGGACATAGTGGTTAATACCAGAAAGTGCGCCATTGATTTCGCGGGGGAAAAAAAAGCTATCCGCCATTATATTGTTTATGTACAGGCAAAGAGGGTGGTGTTGTTGGCTGTGTTCATTTCTGTTCTAACATAATTATTATAACAATTCTATTCTAGAGTTAAGATGCTTCACATCTGATTTTGTTTTGGGATAAAAATGAGTAAAATTAACGATTTTAGAGCACTGTTTGTTCTAATACATGTAACATGGACATTTTAATCAGTTAATTAAATACGTTCCCTTAAATGTCGCAATAACTCTCTAGCAGTGTCAGGCACTGTGTGTGTGTGTGTGCATATGTGTGTGTATGTGTGTGTGTGCGTGTGTGTGTGTGTGTGTGTGTGTGAAGGAAGGGGGTGGGAGAGGAAGAGAGAGAGAGAGAGTCATGTGAATGATGGCCGGTCAGTTCTTTAAACCACAAGCCGCCACTGATCGTATCCATACGACGTGGAGAACTCTGTGCCACCACTTTCCAAAGAGGAAATTTACACGTTAATCCGATCCGTGCGCTTTGCATAGCAGTGTGTTAAAATGATTTTTTGAAAAATACTTAAAATTTCAAAGAGATCTTCGCTCTAGAAGTACATGTATTCTTTTATGTGAAGAATACAACCCCCGGAGGTACTAAATGACCCCAGGGCGTACGAATATGGTTAAAGGTCATAAGTTAAGCTTTGTAGAATCTAGTGGAGTCGCGAAAGTAATTTCTAAAACCGGAACTAATGTTCATGCTGATAAGCTTAAGTGCAAAGAAAATATAAGATGAGACAGCGCGGCAGTGACGCGAAGCTTTTGCTTGTAGAAAGACCTCTTCAGTCTTTAGCAACGCCTCCTTCCACTTGCATTGTGCAGGTCCATCACGCCGGTGGCGTTTCATAATAAATGTCATACGTGTTCAACTAGTTCAAGAAAGGCTGAACAGTTCGTTATCAGTTATTTCGTTTTGGTTATTTATTTATTTTTTTATAATTTTTTTTAAGGGGGAGTGAGAAGGTGGGAGGGTAAAGTGTGGATTTTGGGAAGTATAGTCGTGAATAATTTGACTTGTATGGAAAACATCAT